AAGATGGATTTTGTTTCTTAATTCATTCAATTAGCCTGTGTCTTTTGACTGGGAAGTTCAGTCCATTGATATTTAAAGTTATTATTGAAAGATGTGTATTGGTTGTCATCATTTTGATTGCTGTTTGTGAACTCTGTCTAATTTTGTGTTTCCTCGATTATAATTTTATTTATTTTCTTTTGTTGCCCCTGGGGTATAGTTGTTTCTTTCTCCATTCTTTGTATTGCTTCAAATATTCTTTGAAGGGCTGGTTTTGTGGACATGTATTCTTTTAGGCTATTCATATCATGGAAGGATAGATAGATAGATAGATAGATAGATAGATAGATAGATAGATAGATAGATAGATAGATAGATAGATAGATAGATAGATAGATAGATAGATAGATAGATAGATAGATAGATAGATAGATAGATAGAGCAATCAATCCTGAGAATGGTGGTATGTGACTGTAATCCTAACACTCAGGGGACTGAGGCAGGAAGATCACAGGTTTGAGGCTACCCTGGGGTACATAGCAAGACTCTATAAAAAGTGGATGGACAGGCATAGATATTATAGGTATATATTGACACATATGTATTCATATTTCACCCAGGAACATATGTCAGTCATTGACTTCTAATGGCTTGAGTTAAATTTTTTCAGCATTACAAAGATATGAAAAATGATGAGCATTCTTAAGAAACTATTTTAATTCAATTTTAATTTCTTTTCCTAGAAATGCCATATGTAGTACAATGCTTCTTGTGTCTCCAGGTAGCAGCAGTGAACAGTAGCCAGCACTCAGCTGCTCGGTTATGAAGATGACCAATGGATGCTGTGTTGTCAAACATTTTGGATATAAACATTTAATAATTATATGAATATTGGGGGGGAAGAAGGATTTGGTGATGGCCCCAGGCTCCATAGGGAAGAGAGTAAACATGAGTGTGGTGACCCTTCTAGGTTCCTCCCTAAAGTCACCAGCAGTCTCCCTACCCATTCCCCAACTGACGTACAATTAGAATGATAGGTCAGTGTAACACTGGCTCCATAGAAGGCAACTGGAAAGACCAATAAATTAGGTCATGTCTGTCCATAGCTGTTTAACTGCTTACTTTTGCCATCCAGGCAGAAGTCTTTAAATGTTTATGAGTAACATACCCCCTCCAGGTTAGCTGTCTCCACCTTCAAAGCCATGGTAGACCCCACCCTCTCCTGGTTCCGCTTAGCTCTGGTTCTGGCTTCCGTCCCGTTTTCTTCCTACTTCCCTATGTGTCTTTGGGGTATCCCAGCCCTTCATGGAGAGTCCACAGAGACAAAACAATACATACATATAATGTGTATACATACAGGTATATGGAAGTTCACATGATGTGTGTACATGTGCATGGAGGTCAGAGGTCAATATGGTGCTTTTCTCCCATTGCTCTTCTACTTGTTTTTTGAGACAGGCTCTCTCACTGAACCTGTAGTTCACCCATTCAGCTAAACTAGCTGGGCAGCAAGCAAGGGATCCTCCTGTCTCCACCTGACCAGGGCTGGTTCTACAGGACAGCATTACTGTACTCAGATTTTACATGGCCGCTGGGTTCAAACTCCAAAGTTCACCATTGGGTTAGTCCAGCCAGCCAGCTTGCTGTAATAAACCCATCTCTACCTTCTGGGAGCTGGAATTACAGATGGGCTGCCACACCTGCCCAGCATTCACGTGGGTTCTGGGAATTCAAATCTGGTCCTCATGCTTGTGCAGCTCTTTACCCACCGAGTCACCTCTCCAGCCCCTACTAATTTTTTTTTACTAAAATGATTTGCAAATGTCTAAAAACCAACTTGAAAATATTATAAATGCCATCACTTCCAAACAGAATCCCCCAAATAGCAGAGATGTTTTATGTATGTACAGGTGTTTGTGTATGTGGAGGTGCATGTGTGTGTGCAGATGTGTGTGCATGCATATGGAGACCAGAGATCAGCATCAAGTGGTGTTCCTCAGGAGCTGTCCACCTGGTTGTTTTAGACAGGGTCTCTCACTGGCCTGGATCTCACCATGTAAGCTAAGCTGGTTGGCCAGAAGGATCCAGAGACCCATCTGTCTCTACCTTCCCAGTACCGGAATTACAAGTATATGCCACCATACCTGGTTCTTTTTAATATGGGTTCTAGGAGATCAGACTCAGGTCCTCATGTCTGAAAAGCAAACATTTTGCTGACCAAGCTATCTTCCTAGCCCTAGAGATGGTTTTAATTACTTTTTAATTTTTATTTGGGGGAGGGTATTTTTATTTTACATGTAAGAGTGTTTTACCTGCAAGTGTGTAAGTGCACCACACATGTGCAATGCCTGTGGAGGCCAGAAGAGGACAACAGATCCCCTGGAACTGGAGTTACAAATGGTTGTTAGCTGCCATATGGGTACTAAAAACCAAACCTTGGTGCTCTTAACTGCTGAACTACCTCTCCAAACCCCACCACCAAGATGGTTTTATGATGTAAGTGGTACAGCTGCCTTTCTGTCTCCTGCTTAGCTTAGCTCCATCTCTGCGATACTGCAGGCACCCACTGGTAGCAGCCTTGTAACACTGAAGACTATGCCTCCACGGCAGGTCATGTCAGGAGGTGCCAGGTGCTGGCTACTTCTTTGCCTTGGAATTTGGAGTTTGGGATTGTAGGTCAGTCCCTTAGTTAAAAGTATACAGTATTTACATATAATCTACATATCACTCTACTTTAAGGCCTCTTTAGATTACTTATAATAATATAATTAAAATGTTGTAAAAATAGTTGTTATACTATATTGTTTAGGGAATAATGACTTTAAAACTATATTTATTTATTGACCAGGTGTGGTGGTAGAGGTTTTTAATCCCAGCATTCAGGAGGCAGAGTCAGGTCGATCTCTGTGAGATTAAAGTCAGCCTGCTCTAAGTGAGTTCCAGGCCAGCTGGGGCTACAGGGAGATTAAACTTTAAAAAACCCCAAACCAAAACCAAACAGACAAACAAACAGTGTCTCTGTTGCAAACAGATGTGATTTGTTTTTCAAGTATCTTCAATTCATAGTTGGCTGTATTCATGGATGCAAAACCCAGGAATAAATAGAGTGAACTGTACATTCATTATGATGTGATAAGTAAAGTTATGTACAGTAACCCAGAGGTCACTGAACACCATGCTGGAAGAGATGATGCCTGAACTGAGTCTGGAGGGAGGCGATGGGTGGATGAAGGGGGGATGGGCCCTGGGCAAGTGGTGAGCAGCTTTGGTAAAGCACAACCATGGGACAGATCACAGGATACAGAGTAAGAGGCTAGAGCATGAGCTAGGGAGCAGAGGTGCATCATGGGAGGCCTGCATGCCATACTAAAGGCCTGGACTTGGTGAAGAAGCTGAAGGTAAGGAGGAGCTATGGGCATACTGAGAGAAACAGAGTAATAAGACCAAAGTTTTTTTTCTAGGTTAGTGGTACTGGGTAAAATCTAGATCAAAGGAGATTTTTAAAAATATTTATTATTTTTATTTTATGTGTATGAATGTCTTGCCTGCATGTATATAAGTGCACCCATGTTGTACAATGCCCATGGAGGCCAGAAGAGAATATCAGGTCTCCTGGAATTGGGGCTACAGATGGTTGTTAGCAGCCACGTGTGTGCTGAGAACCGAACCCAGTCCTCTGGAAGAACAGCAAGTGTTCTTAACTGCTGAGCCATCTCTCCAGCCCTTCAAAGAAAAATTTTGTATAGAAGTTTAATGTTCCTTAAAGTTCATGCGTCAGGAACTTACCCTCCAATTACCATAAATCTGGGAGGTGGAGCCTTACAGGAGGTAACTGGGTCACAAGGGATGTATCCTCCTGCACTGATTGTCATTATTGCAGAAGGAGACTAGTTAGCACGAGAGGGGATTTGTTATAAAAGCAAGTTTGGGGGCTGGGGATGTAGCTTAGTTGGTAGAGTGCTTGCCTAGCATGTACAAAGCCCTGGATTCTATCCTAGAACTACATAAACCAGGCATAGTGGTACATGCCTGTAATCCTAACACTCAGAAGGTAGATGTGGGAAGATCAGTAGTTCATATCATCCTTAGCAACATAGCAAGTTGAGGCATGGGATACATAAGACCCTGTCTCAAAAAAAGAAGTTCAACTGGGCCCTTTGGTTTGCTTGCTTTCCTGCTCTTTCACCTCCTACCACGAGGTGATACAGCACGAGGGCCTTGCCAGATGCTGGTGCCATGTGCTTGGACTTCCCAGGCACTATTTCTTTATAAATTATCCACCTGTGGTATTCTGTTATAGCAATACAGAATAGACCAAGACAGGGGACTTGACCAGGGATGAAAAGGGGAGGGATTTAAGAAATATATGAGAAGTCAAATAAGCAGGAAGTGGTGGCTTATTGGCTGGAAGAGGATAGAGGAAGGAGACTACGAATGAATTCAAGTTTCTGGCTTTAATGCAGTTTTGGTATGCAGCTAGCCCACTGTGTACACTGAAGCTAGTGGGTCCAGACTGTACACGTGGGAATCTGGGGAGGGGTAAAAGAGCCGCATACCAAAGGTCATCACTTCCTCTATCAACTCCGAAATATTTAGACATTACTTCTTGGCAGTTGAGCTCAAGTCTTAGACCTGTGACCAGGATTGGTAGTAAGAAGAGCGAGCTGATTTCCAAGCATAGTTCTGGCAAGGGAGTGTGGAACTGTTGCCCAGCTCCAGACGGCCTGGTGATGGACTTATGGGGATGAAGCTGAAAGCAAGCAGCTGACAGTAAGGAGGGAACAGACTGGGGCCACAGCAGCCATCACATGGCAAGCCAGGGCGCACAGCCTGCCTGGCAGCAGGGGACCAGCAGGCCAGAGGACACTGCAGATCCTTTCATTTCCTCCCCTTCAGCTTTGGACTTCAGTCAGAAGCATTTGCTCTCTCCTCTTCTAAGCAAAAATAATTTTGACATACTGGTTATTAGCTACCCTCCTCCAGAACTGAACCAGACTAAACCAACCAACAAAAAAACAGACCTCTTCATTCTAATTGTGTCTCCTCCCTGAGCATCAGCAGGCTGCCCTTCCAGCAGCACCCTCCCCTATCCATACAGTGTCAGCAGAAGTGCAGTTCCTTTTCAGTGAGTGGAAGATCCCTCCATTTCAGTGTGTCCTGTTCCCTAGCACAGGACACTATGGATATTGCTTTGGAAGCTGGTCCCGAGTCACTGAGAAGAGAGGCAAGGTGGTCATTCTACCACGTACTACCCAGCACCCACCAGGTAAGCTGCTACATACCCCTGCGAAGCCTCCAGATCATTCAGGCCTGTGGCTCCAGAATTAGCTAAAATATATTAGGGTTTCAAGCAGCAAGGCTAGGAATGATATCTAGCAGGTTTGGTGATGCAAAAAGAGAAACCCATTTCCCAGGTTATCAGCATATGCGTTTACTTAAGTAAATCCCAATACTTTATGGAACTAAGATGAGTGACATTTTTATTTATATTAAAATCGGGGTTTTTTGACAAATATTTTGAAGACCTATTATTTACATGAGATGTATAACCTATGATTAATGCACAAAGAAATTTATGCAAAGAAATCTGTAATGTATTTGGGAGGACAAGGTGTGAGAATTTAAATAATATTTTTGCTTGTTTTTATCTTGTCTCACTTTGTAACCCAGGCTGGCCTAGAACTTGCTATGTAACCCAGGTTGGCTTTGAAGGTGTGATGATTCTCTGCCTCTGCTAGGATTACATGGTTGGAATTCATGGTTGGACTATGCAAGTCTTCGGTTCAGAAAAACAGCTTATTTCAGTATTAGAAACCAAAGCCCTAAAAGAAAAGGCTTGTGTTTGCTTACCCTGTGGTAACTCTGGCTTGCTCTACTAGGACCTTCTGTCCCGCCTCCCCTTCTTGCCTTCCTAGCTCTCTGTCAACCTTCAGAAACTTTTATAAAGTGTTCACTAATTTTTAACAACTTGGTACATTAAGAATGAGATTTTTGGTTGATTGCTTTCATTTTACTTTTTTTTAAGTATTTTATTCATTATATTTTATTTTATGTGTATGAGTGTATTGCCTACACGTAAGTATATCCATGTCATGCAATGCCCAAGGAGGTCAGAAGAGGGTGTCAGATCCCCTGGAACTGGAGTTATAGACAGCTGTTAGCCACCATTTGGGTGCTGGGAATCAAACCCTGGTCCTCTGCAAGAGTAGCCAATAGCCTTAACCTCTGAGTCCTCTATCCAGCCCCTCATTTTATTTTTAAATTCTGAAAATTTTAAATTAAAAAGATACAATAGCTTCTGATACACTAAGTATATGTTAAAGGATTTTAAAAATATTTTATTTATTATTTTTATTTTATATATATGAGTGTATTGCCTGCATGTAGATAGGTGCACCTGTGTCATGCAATGCCAGTGGAGGTCAGAAGAGGGCGTTGGATTTCCCTGAAACTGGAGTTATGAATGGTTATTAGTCACCATTTGGGTTCTGGGAATCAAACCTGGGTCCTCTGCAAGAGCAACCAGTGTTCTTAACTGCTGTGTCCTCTCTCTAGCCTGTGTTAAAGATTTTGTAGCATCTACCTCTAGATCTCTGAGTCTGGGTTGAATCTATCACATCAGACCCATTGCCCAGTGTGCTGGTATGCACCTGTGATTGAGTGGCTGACCAGATACAAAAACAAGTCATGTGTTGCCCACCCTCCCCAGCTTCACATACTTGTGCAAGAAGCTCCAGGAGACTTACATGGTCTTAATGTTAAATCATCTATTGCATCTACTAAGGACCTGAGAGACTTTAAGAGTTTAGGAAATTCTTGTGTATAGCCTAAAAACACAAATCAACCTTGAAAATCTTACTAGATAATGATTGACTTGAAAAAATAAATTTGGATAGCTTTTCAGAAGCAAGGCTAACAAATAAAACTATAGACCACTCAATCACAAAGTAAAACAGCACAAAACCAAGCTGTGCTGTTGAGTCTCCTTGGTTTGGACTGTTCTGTGCAGATGACAACCCCCACCACAACCACTAAAACTAGTTTCCCGGGCTGGAGAGATGGTGCAGTGGTTAAGAACACTGGTTGTTCTTGCAAAGGACCTGGGTTCAAATCCCAGCACCCACATGGCAGCTAACTATCCGTAACTCCAGTTGATCCGACAGCCTCTTTTGTCCTCCACGGGCATGACACGGGTGCACTTACCTACACACAGGCAATACACACATACACATAAAATAAAATATTTAAATTTAAATTTAAAAAAACCTAGTTTCCAATTACTCAGGTACTGTGAATGAATGAGCATCACTACTGATGAGCAAAAATGGATGCAGCTGCTGTTCTAATGGAGTTAAACTCCAATAAGTTTGCATGTGTCCTTGAAGGCCCATCTTCATTTTAGGTAGAATGAATCTTACTCTCTTTCACAATTGTAAATCAAGAGTTTGGCTTTCTGTAACACACGATCTGTCATGTGCTAGGTTTATAGCTCAGCTCCTTTGCATCTCTTTTCCCACCAAAAGATCTTAAATTTCCTGGTGTCTTCATATCATCATTATGAATCATTAAGAGTTGAATGGATTTTCCCCCCAGTCAGAGAAGACATTTTTCAAAGCTTTAACTAGGAGCCAGTGAGTCAGGTCATGGGACAAAGAACATATAGAAAGGGCATCTCAAGCAAAAGAGAAACTTGGAAAATAGCCCAATGGGCATGACAGAGTTTAGAATGGTTGACACAAAGTGTTTAAATGAAAGCAAAGGTAAATAAATCCAGATAAGTAACCAGAGGCTAGTCACAAAATCTGGAGTCCCAGAGGTGACAAGGAGAATGAGACATAGAGGTTAGAGATCAGCCCATGCAACAAAGCGGTGAGAACCTGCCCCAGGGCATCCCCACCACCCAGACACAGCATCCTCCCATCAGCTCAGCACTTTGTATTCTCACGCCAGCCTGAGACAGTTAGCTGGGAAGAGATGAACATTGCTACTGGTAAGTGTCCGGACAGTATTGTCACAAAGTGGGGCCACTCAAAGCCCCTACCCTGCAGCCTGAACAGAAAGAGGCAAACGGCCATGAAAATTAGGTGAACAGAAGGCAGGGTTACAGATATTCAAACCCACCCATGAATTACTTTCAGGAAATATCAAGAATTGCCAACCTTGCTGGCCTCTTGGTGCTTGATCTTGAACATCAAATAACCAATATTCTCAATGACACCTGGGTAAAAGTAACAAGCAAGGACACTGAAGAGAAACCATAAAACCCACTCTCATCTAAAAGCATATGAAATAATGTTCAACTCTCTGATAAAGCAATACTAAAGACAGATAATAAACTTTGAGTTTATCTGATTAGCAAAGACTTAAAAGTAATAACTAATATGGGAAAATGGGCCCTTGTATGGAGATAAATTTGGTTCAACCTTTGTCCAGAGTAATCTGATGATGTTTCATATGCAATTAAAACAAGTTCATGTTGGGTGTGGTGACTCAGGCTTTTAATCCCAGCATTCCAGAGGCAGAGGCAGGCAGATCTCTGTGTCTCAAAAAAAAAAAAAAAAATTCAGCTCAGCAATTTTCTACTTCAAAGAAATGTGTTTTACAGAATCAGCAGGAGATACACACAATACCAGTTTTGAATTATGTTCATGTCAACATCATGACTGTGAAAAATTAGAAATAACTGATGTAGCTAGCACTGAGGAAGCAGGTATGGATTATAGTAATGGTGATACAATGGTAGAATAATAATGTAGCATAGCTTAGTAAGAAAGCTATATAATAAATGCTAAATATAAAAGCTTACTATAATGCTAAACTACAACATGGACTATACTGCAGTGTGTGGGTGTGTGTGTGTGTGTGTGTGTGTGTGTGTGTGTGTGTGTGTGTGTGTGTAAGAACATTCCTAAATGAGGGGCTGGAGAGATGGCTCCGTGGTTAAGAGCACTGACTGCTCTTGCAGAGGACCCAGATTCGATTCCCAGCACCCTCATGGTGGCTACGAACCATCCTTAACTCCAGTTCCAGGGGAATCCGAAGCCCTCTTCTGACCTCCGTGGCATTGCATGACACGGGTGCACTCACATACATGCAGGCAATACACTCGTACACATAAAATAAAAATTAATTAATTAATTAAATAAAGAAAATTCTTAAATGCATAACTGGCACATTGAAAAAGTGGAAATCATGAATATAATCAAAAGCATCTTTAGTTTTATCTCCTACAATCCATTTAAGTACTACTGAATTGAAATCAAGGGTGTTCCTGTGACTGTTGTAATAAAAGTAATGTGATAAAAGCCCTTTGGTCGCTTTAAGATGCACAGTATAGTTCCACTTCAGTAAGATCATTAAACTGACCAGCTCAGGTTAATTCCAGTGGATTCAATGGAGCAGCCAGTTCCAGTTGCCCCCCCACCCCAGAGCACCTAGAACAGTGCAACAGTGCGGAGGGCTGGGGCTTCCTTTCTGCTGTCAGGCATCTGCCTTTCTGCTCCATCCATCTGTGTCAACCTCCTCTGGCTTCTCCAGGGTTGAAGTGGACGGTGGTCAATGGGAGGAGACAAAGGAATGTAGATGGGAGCCATGGAAAGCTGTCTCTTGACTGGAGTGGTTGCAGCATGGTCTCATACTCTGGGTTGGCTGGCTGTTTAATGTGCCTCTTCTTTTCTTTTTTTTTAAAAATATTAATTGTAATTTTTGTTTTGTTTTGTTTTGTTTTATTCTTAGTTTTATGTGTGTCCACAGAGGTCAGAAGAAGGTGTCAAATCCCCTGGCACTGGAGTTACAGATGGGTGTTAGCTACCATGTGGGTGGGTGCTGGGAACCAGACCTGGGTCCTCTGCAAGAGCAGTCAGTGCTCTTAACCCCTGAGCCATCTCTCCAGTCCCAATGTGCCTCTTTTCTTGTGCAAGTTCCTGGGGTTTTTCAGAGCTGCCCTGTGTCTCCTGGCTCTGTTCTGAACTCCTGATGCAGATGATATGCTCTCCCTGCTCTCTGGCAGGAAGTCAGTGATTCAGGCATCACCTTTCTACTAAATCTTATCCTCTCTGGAGGCAGCTCTGGAAGTCGTGAACTATGGGAACCCTATGGCTTCTCATTCTTTCCAGTGGCCTTTGTCTTGTCTGTGAGAAATATTCACACCATTTTTGCCTGCTAAATCTTACACATGATCACCAGTGAGCTGTTTGCCCCAGTCTGTAGGCAAAGAAGCCGGCCAGTCCATGTATCCATGTTAGACTTCACGGGCAGAAGACACTG